ACACGTGCCCCCCCGAGCTCCCCCCTTGCCATGGCTAAGAGCATCTCCAGCGCTCTTCGGGCTAGGGGGGAAAGGCTGCCCGAGTTCACTCCAGCGCAGGGCCCGTAGCCCAGTGACGTCAGCCACTGACAGCTCCAACGGGCGGGTGCCACGTGGCGCGACGGGGCATCTCCGATGGAATTTTTCCAGAAATCCGACGGTCCTCGTTTTTTTGGCTAAAAAAATTGCAAAAAAAATCGAAAAAAATCTGAATTTTTTTTTAAAAAATACCCAAAAATTCTGTATTTTTTCTCTATAAATACCTAACCATTTTATTTACTTTCCACACTAAAATCTTCATACAATTTCTTCTCCATCCCATATTTTTTACTCTTTACTCACATTATTCACTTTCCACACCAATTCTTCATACAAACTTTTCTCCTTCCAATTTTTTTGTTCATCTCCACTCACATTTTTCACTTCCACACCAATTCTCCATACAAACTCTTCTCCTTCAAATATTTTTTACTCTCTTTCTACTACTTTCCATTTGTATAAAAAAAAAACAAATGGCATCTTCTATTGAAGTCGGAGGCTCGTGGTCAACGAATGAAGATATTGCGTTGTGTCAATCTTGGGTGAACATTAGTCATGACCCTATCACGGGTAATGAGATGAAGTTTCATCACATGTGGAGCAAAATTCATGGAGAATTTTGTCAAAGATCGGGTTCTATTCGGACCGAAATGGCGTTGTCTAGTAGATGGAAACTTCTTAATAAAGAGTTAGGGAAATGGAGAAATGCCTTGACAAAAGCAAAGGCGAACATTCAAAGCGGTCAAAATTTAACCGATGAGGTAAAATATTTATAATTGCCATTTTAATCAATTCAATGTCACTTTTTTTTTTTCCATATTCTATTTGTTTTTCTTGCATAATTTCTTTTTTCTTGGTGCACCTTTAATTTGTCTATATTTTCTTGCATAATCAATTTTATTTTTGCATTTCAAAATAGTTTATATTTTCTTGCATAATAATTTTTGTTTCTTGCACTTCCAATTATTTATTTTTAATAGATGGTACAAGCACAAATGTGGTTCGGTGCCATGGGGCAAGGCAAAAAAAGTTTCGTGCATTTCCAATGTCAGTTTTCTACAAATGTGGTTCGGTGCCATAGGACAGTTCTTCCACTGCCAGTGCATACAATCGATGCTTCCAATCATTCCTGGGAAACCTCGAGCCTCGCCTTTTTGTAGAAGCCGTTGCAGGGCTC